TTGTATATATGTTTTTATGTTATATATTTGTATATATAAGTAATATGATCATAATGTGCAGTAGGTCTCCATTGTATGTGTTATTATTTATAAGTCAATATGAATTGTTTTCAGCGCATCATTACATCTCTATTTTGCCAAAGGTTGACTAGAAGAGAATGCTTTATAGCATTAAGTCCGCATTTTGTACCAGACATTTTATGTAATATAGTCAATAAAAAATAAATAAATAAATAATTAAAATAAAACGTAATTTGAATGTATCTTGGACCAATATTAAATACTTTTTCATTTTACATAACGAAATAGGTAGGTACGAGTATAACGAACCAAACAAAATCCCATAGTATTAATGAAATAGCAACTTTCATCAAAGTCGGTTCATTTGACCAGAGTGGGAAGCTTGGAACATAGTACGGTCACGAGATCGATTTATAATGAAAGGAAAACTACTCTCTTTGGGGACGGTTGTTTAGCTCCGTTGGATATCAACTTTTTATGCACTTTTACATTGTTAAACTGCATTATAAAACAACATATCATTTTCATCATCATCATCATCATCATATCAGCCTTTTACTATCCACTGCTGAACATAAACCTCCCCCTTGGGAGGTTTTGTCAGAAGTTGCCTCGCTTGGCAAGCGGATTGACAACCGTAGTTAGACTTTAGAAATGTTTTAAGAAGGACGCTGCTGCCCATCCCTCGCCTTCCGTTAGTCGTCTCTTACGATACCCAGGGGAAAGGAAAGGGTGGCCTATTCTATGCCTGGACCACACGGCCATTATATTATAGTATATGTTATATCATTTTGTTAACTATAATATACATAATTTTTTTAACAACTAAGTAATTCAGTTATAACAATTCCAATTCATTAAACAGTTTTAATGTGAATTTGAAGTAATCAACAAACCAAATATATATGTATTTTTTTACTACAATACTATTGATAAAATTTATGCCAACAATGACGTAGATAGATACTATAATATGCATGGAACAAAAGCAGTTTTCACTCACTAAAATCCCCCGAGCAGAAATTATAAAAAAATGAAATTTAGACCATAAGCTCCTTTTGTGACGCAAGCTCCCAGTACAAATGGATTTTTCGATATTGGATCCCCAAAGGGATAAAAAAGGAGAGTAAAAGCCTGTTTACATATTTCGTTGCTGTTTACGCATAATATTATTAATGTTATACTTGAAAATTTCAAGTACTTACAACATAATCGAAATATATGATACAATAGCATTTTATGGTCGCTCTCTACCTTGAAAGTACTTATAGTACACGAGGAAAACAATATTGAAAATGAAAGAATTAACATATATTGTATCGATATAATAAAAATAATAGCCGTCATGTAATTATTGAATTTAGTGCATTACTCGTGCACTAAATTGGAATATTTTGTATATATATACGTATATATAAAATAGGTACTTCACTATCGAAATAACTACATATAAAATTGATAGAAATAGCTCAGTCATCACGCTTCAGAAGTCTGTTAAGTCGAGTTGTGGCTAATACAATATCGGGCTCCTAAAACAAATCCCTCGAGGCGCTCCGTCGGCCGCTACAATGTCGGACTTGGTAAAAGGACGATTGTGTTACGTTATGACCCTTCAACGGTTCGATTGGTATAGATTTAGTAATTTACTTACTATGCCTACCTACTTATATATACTTATTTATATGTATATACTATGCTTACCAATCTACTTACTATAAAGTCATATAAATACTAGTTTACGAGTATACCTGAGACTTCATCCATAGAACCTTGATATATTGATTGATTGGAGTAAAAAATAACCTACATATGTCCTTCTTAATCCCAAATACATGATAACCAAATTTCATAACGAGTGGTTGAGCCATTAAAACGTTAAAAGATAACAAACTTACTTTCGCATTTGTAATACTAGCTATATCCCACAGTTTCGCTCTCGTGAATCAGTATATAAATTATCCTGAATTCATTCATTTATTTATTACAATAACAGTTTGCAAACAGAAACGAGCATGCCATAAAATAATAAACAATACAAAAATGTATCTATACACAATTTGTTAACCTTGCATTGTAAACATCAATAAATATAATTTAATTTAATTAAGTAAAGATTATAATAAATATACAGATTATAACTTATACTATTTCAAAATTATGAAAAAACTTTTTAAAACTAATATAATATAAGTACTTTGATGAAAGATATCGAACCTTTCGCTTATTTTATTGAACGATTAACACATCTAATGAATAGGGCTTTTCATTCAAAAAGACTACTTTTTTTAACGTAAAAACTATTTATGTAAAAAAGTTACAAGCATCATAAACAAAAGCATATATATATATATATATATATATATATATATATATATATATATATATATATATATATATATATATATATATATACCTTTCTGTTTATATTTTCATTTTGTAAGCAATTTGGAAAAGCAAAAAAGCTGACGATTCACCGTAATAGACATCATTTATTTCATTTTTATTTTATCATATAATAATACATTATGATTCCAAGCTACAAATATATAGATGTCATGCTTTGTCTTAAAACTAAAATGTTATGCCGCCGTACATTGTAATTTTACTACTATGGTTAAGGGCGTACTTATCTCCCTTGTATATTATTATTTTTGTGTTTATGTTAGAAAATCAGGTGAAAAATAAATTTGAAGTTTGGGAAATATATCGTAATATTGAAATTATAGTGTACCATGGTACATTAGAGTGTTCTAATAAACTATTATACAGGCGTAACATTATACTTCATTTTACTACTATTTTTATGTACAATAATTAAAAACATAACTAAAGAAGGGCCAAATTAAAAGTACCCGTAACCGGCGATTGATGAATATGAAAGAAGCGAAAGAGGTTTGTTTGAAACGAAGCATTTAGCGTTCTATTGTTTCTGCCTACCCTTATAGGAGACAGATATGTACTCGTATGCATGTATGTAATAATTAAAAACCATAAATTTTAATCACCATATGTGTTTCGTTAAAACCCTATTGGTCTTACAGTAGTATTTAATAAATGTCAAAATTTGTACAATTAGATATACATACATATTTGTTATACTCGACCACGTTTAAACGATTGAAAGGATTTAAATAATAATACGCTACAATATTTTTTTACGATGGTAATTTTATATGTCTGTAATACGATAACTTAAAAGTGTAAAATAACGGCTCAAAAAATAACAAAAGAAGACTGTATATGGATGTCTCACTTTTCTTGTTTATAAATATGATTTTAATACACTTTTATAGATTCATAAACCGATTTGGACTAGAGAGATAGCTAGAAAACGACCTTTGAAATAATGCTCAAGTTTTTTTTTTTATACAACTTAGAATGGCAAACAAGCTGACGGCCCACCTGATGGAAAGTGGTAACCGTCGCCTATAGGCATGAGCAGTACCATGGACATAACAGAGTATACTGTTTCGCCCATGATACCCATCATGCGTTGCCATTCCTGAGGACTCAGGTGTTATTTCTCTGTACCCAGTAAATTTACGCCATATCCCACCCTTCAAACCGAAACACAGCCATGCAAACACAACTGCTTCACGATTGAAACACGAATGAGACAGAGGTACCCAAGCAATCGACTTTTGTACAAAGTCTCCCTCTGGTATGTATATGTAATTATAAACATTCATACATTATTATTTTTGTAGTTATCGTACTGTAAAGTGAAGAACTTTCATTGCATGCGCGATGTTGGCACGAGTAGGCATGAACCCACGGGAACACTCGTAAAATATTCAGACGTCTTACGGATCAGGGTCAACGATCGTCGACGTATCGAACATATATACATACATACTCATATTACTTTACTTGTGCAAATGTTAATTCCTACTAGTTTATTTATGTTTTAGCTAATTACTAGTAAAGCAGCAATATTCCGGTATATTGGAATAAAAAGTGAAATTATCTATAATATTTTATCAAGTAGTATTACGTTTACCATGTAAATAATTATTTGCTATGCTATACCAAGATTTTTATATTTCTGTCTAATTTAATTTAAAATCTAAATTATCATTAAAAAAATTAGTACGTGAATTAGTATGAAATATTAATTACATAAAAATATCTACATTATTTCATTAATCTATATTTATATCTATATTTACAATAAATAACCAGAATTCAGTCTGGCAGTATATATAATAATAAGCTAGCCAGGTATTGATGACAGTACTTAATCCACTTACAGTACTTTTTCTTAAATCCTTTTTATTTTAGGAAATGTATTAAACAAAAATAGCAATACCACTAAATAATAATACTAAAAAAATAGGTGTATAGTTACTATAATTGGTAATAAATGTATCCACTTTAAGCATTGTATATCAACTACGTTAGCTATGAAACAACGGCCGCTCATCGATAAGTACACCCCTGAGAGAGCCGTGTAGATCCGAAATAAAAACAGGATAAGGAGACGAAAAGGTCCCTAATTAGATGAGGAACAAACAGAGGATTAGGGTCAACACCCGCCCAGGGACCCCTTGCCTCCTTCCATTGTTTCGTTATTACAGTTGAATATTGAGTTCGCCTCATTTTAATTATTACACAATTTAGCCACAACCCTTTGCCGATTGGACGGCAGGCTTGTTAAATCCAATTAAGGTCACCGGATCTTATCAAGGTCGCTTATCCGTACATGTACTAATAGTACAAGGATATACAAAAATCGTATATTCTTACTGCTGTAAACTGCTAAACTTTAATAACATTTTTAATGCATTTATAAGAACGTGTATACATAAAGATCAAAAATTAAAATTCATATAAGTTATTTTAACAAAAACAAATAACAAAAGGTGAAGTAAAAAACTGTCGTCCGATCACAAAATTCTGAAATGGATAGTAAAATAGCATAGTAGGTAGCTATCTTTTTAAAATTTAATGTATCTAACCCTATTTGTTCTTTGTCTCAGGTGTGCAACAAGATCTTCGGCAACGCGTCGGCACTGGCAAAACATAAGCTAACACACAGCGACGAACGCAAATATGTATGCATCACATGCGCCAAAGCGTTCAAGAGGCAGGACCATCTGTGAGTAAAGCTCTCTGCAAACAATTCCCAGTACATGATGTTTTGAGGGAAATGCTTCTTTTGATGCATACTTTTTTATCTCCGGAAATAGTTTGAATATAAAATATAACTTTAGTATCTTTTGTTTCAATTTAAAGTTACTAAAAATATTACATTTCATTATTATATGTTAACATCATCATATCAGTCTTTAACTATCCAGTACTGAACAAACGCCTGCCCCATAAGGGAAGGGGAGCCAGTAGTTGCCACGCTTGGCAGGCAAGTTGACAACCGCAGTTAAGCTTTGATGACGTTTTAAAAGGGACGCTGGTGCCCATTCCTCGACCATTAATTTTCCTAAGCCCACTCTTACAACGCCCACGAGAAAAGAAGGGTTGGCCCATTCTATGCTGGGACCACACGACATATTATTATAAATGAAGCAGAAGTGTATATCATAAGCATATTAAGTACATGTAGGCAGAAATACAACTAGTGAAATATAGACATGAAAGACCCGACCCCATAATTTTAAATAATAATAGGTGCCCCGAAGAACAACAATAGACGTCCATGCCTGCATTTCGAGCCAGGGGTCAAACTGTTAATTTTAATGTGATCGTAACTGTGAAAAGGGTAGTGGTAGTACCGCAGTGATTATTTAGTCTTTGCCGTCACGACTACAACACACGTTCAGTGCACAAGGTGTCGCTTTAATCGCTGTAGCTTACACTCCACATGAATAATAATGAGTACATCGTGTTCATAATGCTCATATGTATTGACTTGACAGCGGTCATGTAGCACTAGTGACCTACTTACACCTCTATGCTAAACCTCGCATTCTTTTAAAGCCGAAATTTTAATAAAAGCACACTTAGTAAAATGCAAATTCTAGTGACTGCTAGAATTTACTGCTTCATTCTATTAGGACATAAAGTTTGTGGCGCGCCTGTGTGAAACTGCGAAAACGGTGCCAACAGTAATGACTTTAGACATATCTTTTGATAGTAACAAATAAGTTATATCCACTTTACTTATTGCATATTACTATTTATTGAGTATATTTATTTAAAAAAATTAACCAAGACTCTATTTAAGCAGCATGAATACAACCTAATTGTTTTAATGGCCCTTGAATAAATAATAATGTTTATAACAGCCGTTGTTTGATAAATAGGTTAGTAAAGGCCTATAACGTAGCTGTCATTCTAAGCAACTTCTATACTATGAAGATATTTTGCAATAAGCTTATGTAACAATCTAAGTATATATCCTTCTTTTATCATAGTTTATTATCATTATATTAACCGTTAACTGTCCACTGCTGAACACAGGCAACCCCGTAAGGGAATTTTCGCAAGTAGTTTACCAGAGGGAGACTTTGTACAAAAGTCGATTGCTTGGATACCTCTGTCCCATTCGTGTTTCAACCGTAAAGCAGTTGTGTTTGCATGGCTGTGTTTCGGTTTGAAGGGTGGGATATGGCGTGAATTTACTCGGTACAGAGGATTAACACCTGAGTCCTCAGGAATGGCAACGCATGGGGGGTATCATAGGCGAAACAGTATACTCTGTTATGTCCATGGTACTTGCTCATGTCTATAGGAGACGGTTACCACTTTCCATCAGGTGGGCCGTCAGCTTGTTTGCCATTCTAAGTTGTATAAACAAAAAAAGTTGTCGCGCTTGGCAACCGATTGACAACCGTAGTTAGACTTTTGATGGTGTTTTAAAAGAAACACTGTTATTCATACCTCGACCATTAAGTTTTCTAAGTCGCATCTTACGACACCAACGAGAAAGGAAGGAGTGTCCCATTCTATGACTACTACTAGGACTATATGGCAACTTGGCAATGTGACATATTAATTTTACCTTAATTATTGAAATTTGTATTGTATTTCAGCAACGGACACATGCTCACCCACCGCAACAAGAAACCATACGAGTGCAAAGCAGATGGCTGCGGGAAGTCGTATTGCGATGCGCGGTCACTAAGGCGGCATACAGAAAATCATCATCAACCCTCAGCCGACACTGGTAATTTACCACCTAACTACTCTATTAGTACTACTTGTATGAAAAAGATGTAAAAAAATTCTATATTACCTTCATCATACATGAAGGCCTCTGAACAACTCGACTCAAAATGATTAATAAGCGTTCTCAACTTGCAAAGACAAGTCAATCATTTTTTTAAAAACTTTGATTAAAAAACATAAGAACTATACAAAAATCCTAATTGGCTACCCCTGCAGATAGGATATCCTGTGTTATGAAAAACTAAATAATGAACACCTTCAGACTTCAGACACAACCTTGGACTCTCCATTCTAAAAATATTCCGAAAACAGTATTATCATCACCATATTAGCAGTTAACTGTCCACTGCTGAACATAAGCCTCCTCCTTAGGGGGGTTTTGCCAGTAGTTGCCACACTTGGCTGGCAGGTTGACAACGGCTGGTTAGGCTTTAGAGATGTTTTAAAGGGACGCTACTGCCCATCCCTCACCTTTCCTTAGTCGCCTCTTACGATATGCACAGGAAAAGAAGGGGTGGTCTATTCTATGCCTAAACCACATGGCGAAAAATATTATTATGTTAAGACACAAATAATGGTAACAAGAAAAATTGTTACGTAAACAATTTTTTATTGATGGCATGAATAATACATGACCACTGGTCTTTACAATCAAACTTGTAGATAGTTGCAGCAACACCTGTAATATGTGTAGACTAGACTACTGTAGACAATGTTAATCTCTGTCCTGGAAGTAAATGGAAGGTATAGATAATCGATATGCAAGCACCTGTAACGGCGCCTTACACAAAAGCGATTGTACCATTAACGTTATCGGAGCGAGCCTTTGAGAGAGTCCATTATCATAACTACGTAGTAAACCAATTTAATCAAAATATATTAGTTGCTTAAGTGACCATTAATATATTTCGTGTTACACGAAATAAATGAAAAGTACGAGTAAATAATCTGAGATTTTATTAATCTTTTGGCTTTGAAAAATTCCAAGGTCTACGTGTAATGTTTAACAGAGGATTTTGCAAAATTCTGTATAAAATTTGTGTCATCATATTTGTGCCTTGAAATAGATGAGATTCGATTTAAAGAGTGGGCAATGAAATTAAAAAGTATATCATCTTAATCAATCAAATAAAAATAGAGAACATACTGTGAACATGTTAACACTTTCCAGCTGGTGGATCGTCAGCTTGTTTGACATGCTCACTTGAATAAAAACATGTCTTTCCATAATATGTTAAATTGTTTTCTTAAAGATCTTCCGTCATCGATCACCTTTGTTTCTCCTCAAAGCAAGAAAAAGGTTCCTACTTAATAATTATTAAGCCAAATCAGAGTCCGTGCGTCTCTGAGTTGAAAGCTTTGAGAGTATTTTAGCCCCTAATCACACAATCCATCAATCAGCACTTGACTCGCATGATTATTAAGACCCATGGGTCGTCCCAGATTGAGTGGGATCATCCCAATGCTAGAAATACATATAACTACATATATTATAATTAAATATATGTCATCTATAGGTACAAGCAACACAACGAATGGTACCAGCAGTACCGACCGCGACTCAAACTCACATCGTGTCGCCTCGCCGACTTCACCAGCACGCAGCAACCCTCCACATTCTGAAGTAAGTTTTGGCTACTAAAAAAATTACAATGTAAATAATCAGATGGTGAAATATATTAATTAATATTATAAATTAATAAATGAAGATCGCAGAACATACTTGCCCGAAAATAAGTGGCATATATAGATAGATTCATATGTGATAGATACGTTATCACTATCGTAGACGTAGAACGAGACAGCAATGTATTCTTCTTTCTCATTTGATTGGTAATAATTGATTGTATCTACATACCTATAAATTTGTTTGCAGCTTTTCTGATATTGATGTTGATAATGCAACCGTATCTACCTATACGAGTTGCATAAAACTGCTTTACTAAACTAAAGTTAACTTAGTTGGTGTATTTCATTTTTCTTTCTTCTTATTTCGTCGTTCCATTTTCATAGCTACTCGTAAACAATGTTCCGAAGACACCTGCACCCGTCGATATAGATACAGTCAGCATCAAAAGTACACTTCAAAATTTTCAAAATTCCATATCATACATATTCTTTTGTATATATTCAATTAATTTCGATCTTATGCAATGTTCATTCAATTCTGATGCTAAGTTAGTATTATAAATTATTAGAATTAGTTGAAATTATTTGAACTATACCAACAGTGTTAACGGATTTTCTAAATCAGTACGTGTTCGTCGAATTTCAATGCTGACTGTACATACTGCAACCTTTAGAATGTTTGCTACTATATCTAATGAGAGTGACTCCATCTTACGCTTATCAATACATATATATCTTCCTCATTACATTTTATATTATATGTGTTGTTTGCTCGCATGTATTAAGACTAAAAATACTCAATAATTAAATCATGATATGGTATATCTGTAATAATAAAGCTATTTGATAATCACTCAAAATTTTTGTGAACTTTCACGATTGTAATATTAGTAGAATAACAAGCTAAATGTAATGAAAATATTCCGGTCTCTGTGTGTATAATTAATCAAGTATTAATTAGGAAAATGAATACGATTGTTATCGTCAAAAACGTACTATACAGTGTTGGTTGTTGTATATTGATTCGTTACTTAATCTACTAGTAAAACTAATTTGTATCAAGTATGTATGTCTAATGCTTAGTTCCCGCAAAAAGAACTCTATGTTGTCAATCGAACTATACAAACTTCCTAGTTTATTGATCCCTTCGAATTTTCCATTGTTCGCTCACATTCTTTATGCAATCCCCTAAATAATTATTTCACATCAAAACAAATAAATTATTCACGTTGTTTAAGTAACTTCACTGACAATCTAAAATCCCAAACATTTCTGAAGTGCCTAATTAATGTCGTACATTTTTTTAAATTAATATTCTAATAATTTTATTGTAATAACCTGTACTCTGGGCTTTTAGCTACTCTAATCCATTGCAACTACTCTATCCTCGTAAAGTTTAAAAAGAAAACAAATGTCCTAATGACATTCTTATATCTCATACCTATTAGTAATCATTATTAAATTTTGTCAAAAAAGGAGAAAATCTCAAATGAACTGTTTATTTTTGTAAATTCATTTGATATTTTTTTTTAATTGATTGTATTTACTCCTGTATATAGTTTACCATCCATATAAATTATTAGTGTTGTTAGTTCATCAATAAGTCTATAATTATTCGCCTTATTAAATCGATTAACGCAAAGTTTTGTTTTATGAAGCCTAAAAATTATTTTTAAACTGACTTTATCAAATATTTGTAGACTATATTATATATAAAACTTGTAATTGATAGGAAAATTATATAAAGTACACGAATTCATCTTACATTAAGCGTCCTGTCTTACTTTTTTTTTCTTTGTTTCTAGTTTAAAATAAAGTTCCTACTGAAAGGTCATGGCATTTAATTAACAATTTAGATGTATAAAATATAACATCGTCTTTCCAGAAAACTATTTCTTAACGTAATATGGTATAAACAACCAGATTCGCTTGATATAAAACGATGCCAGGTTTACTACTGATACTCGAAAATATAGTGTAAACTAGAAAGCAATTTTATTGTTCGCAATTTCGTGAAATTTGTAACTTATGTTTATAAGTGACAACATTATCCATAGCGGGCCTTGATACGAAACAGATCGGATTATTTTATGCTAGAAAAAGGAGAGATTTAAAGAAGAGATTTTATTTTTATTTATAATGAGAAACTAAAAGACTATTTAAATAAAAAAATGTAGAAATTGTACAAGTGTTCCCACTTATAAAAATGATCTTTATTAGTATCTACCATAAGTCAAAATTTATTTACTCAACAGTAAATTTTGGAATTCCATAATACTCTATGAAAGTACTAATTTAATTCGTTTTTATTATACTTGAATGATAAATGTATCTGGCTCAAATCCAAATGTATGAGTGAGCATGTAATATTCAGCACCCACCGCGTCAACCTTATTAACTAACCAATTACACAAAATCCTCTTTTCATTTCACGCCACCATTAAAGGTTTCGCCAAAAAGTTGGGAACGAGTAGGGGCCCTGTTTATCTCAATTCATTTTACTCAATCCCCCGCAAACATTGCTCAGACGAATCAACAGGGGATGTTTTTCGTTGGAGTTTTAATAGGGAATTCGTTTTAAGTTTTATTTTGTTTCGGCTCAGAATTAACTTTAAGTATTGTTATCTAACGTAACCGACGTTTCATTCCGTTTTTCTAAAAGCTGCCTTTTATTCAGAACATTACTGAGATTTTTTAGATACATGTAAATAAGATAGGTTTGTGTTACAATTCAATCTTACCTACGTCTTTGAATTACAGTGAATAAATAATATATCTTTCCGTTACATATCATATTATATTATATTATTAGCTTCATATCCCTAATTGCATGTTATTTATAAATTCTCTGCTTAATACCTCAGAATTTATAAATGACTTGACTCGTTATTAAATGTTGTTTTGCTATTCCTCCATCCATTTTTTTCAGGATAAACACTATCCTACTATATTATACTACATATTGCAAGTTCCAACTCGCAATATAACTTGCTCCAGCAAACTACATATTACAAATTTTCATTAAAATTGGTTAAGCAGTTTCAAAGATAAATATTTACGAATATCGTGACACGGGATAATAATGCGATTTGAAACGCTACATATTCCAGAGCCTAACACCAAACTGATAACATAAATATAACAATACTAGGTTAATACTAATCACTATATATTATTACAGTCAAGCAACTCCGGTTCTGAGAAATCAAATGGCACAAGCGCAGGCGGTAGTGGAAGCGGTGGCGGAAGCGATAGCAGCCCGCCGTGTACACCTCCCGCGCCCCCCACTCCACCATCTCGGCCTAAGTCCAGTAAAGCTAGTAGCACCAAGCCCAAATCGAGTAATTCGGTAAGTGATGCATTAAATTAAGTAATAGATATTTATTTCAATGGTTGTCAAAGAATTCTCTTAATTTCGTGTCCGAGTAAGATATTTCGTTTTTCAAGTATTTTTCAAGTATTAGATTGATCTAATACTTGAAAAATACTTGAAAAACGAAATAAATACTTGAAAAAAAAAAGAAGAAAGAATGAGGTTTCACTTGAGTGAAACCTCATTCTTTCTTCTCTTTCCGTATAAATATACTAATATAACACTCGAAATTTATTTTTTCATGTAAGTTAATATACTTTTATTGCTCGATTACAATCACCATATTTTTATATTTTATGCTGTTCTAACATAAATTTAGTCTTTCCAACTTTATTCTACAATCTTACTCTCATTTCACAATTTTTATTTATTTTAGTTTAATTACACTTTTACATTCTTTAGATAATCTTTACAGTTAATATCTTTTATTAATAATTAACCTACTGATCAATATTATTAAAACTTTCAGCACTAATTGTAGACAATGTTTCCTCTAATCTCTTATCGAAAACCGGTTTACACCATTGTTAATACATAATTAACAAACTAGCAAACAATTGTTCTCTAAAGAGCAGCATCTCAATTTACTAAGTGCAAAATAAACAGCAATTTGGAAATGAACACTTCGATCCCGAGTCGAATTCCTTTACAACTAAAAACAAAACAAGATCTTTTGTAGGGAATGTAACATAGTAAACTTGCCTTTGTGCTATCCATGATTGAAATTCAAAAGCTCGCAAATTGTTATTCAACATTGTTAGTATACTGGTTGTAATGGCACTCAATAAATCAACAGTTGAACACAACACTGTACTTCGTTTTTCAATATAAGGCTACCGATAGTTCTACAGCGTAGCGGTCACGAATTCACACAGTTTCGTAGCTAAAAACCCTTGCATTGCTCGTTGTATAAAGGAAATATGGCAGTATTAGAGAAACTATCTAGTAATAACCGTAATGATACTCTACAATAAAGATATTTAAATATTTTTTTCTTATACGAGATACATTTACACGTACACGAGTAAACATTAAAAAGTTAAACTTGCGATAGACAGATGTTCAAAATATTTTTACTACTTCGATCTGACTACAAAAACGTATCTAACATCTGTTTATGTCAAAACCACAAAAAAAAAGTTAATTGAAATATAATCTATTTAAAATAATAAATTTAATTAAAATAGTCTACAGATATTGGCACATATTACAAATAAATAATGTTACATTGACCAAATAATATTTAATCACTTAAACAAAGTTTTGTTGAACACTTTAGATAAACAAAGTTGTATATATTTTTTGTAATATAACCGTAAAGGTCTACACAATCGCTGTAAATCGAAACGAGAGATAGACAATTTAAATCTGTAAAATTAATTAAAAGCGATTTAACCCCTATTCGGTTGTGGCCTTAATATGTTTTTTATTACCACGGTGGCTACACGAGAGCACAGCTCCAACAAAAACAGCCGCTCCTGTGTAATATTTCAACAACATGCAACGCTGGTTATAACTTCGCCACGAAACTATTACGGCGAACTGTTTGCTTGCAATATAAGCCCGTAAATGGAAAGCTCTCCCAGCTAGACAATAATTGACTATTATTACGAACCAGCATTTAATTCTGTGGAATTATTAATCCTAGAATAAGATACTAGTAACAAAACAATGCGAAGGGAGCGTGAGAACGAGGGCGCCCTGGATTCTTATGTTAATACCGATACATCGCGGATTGGGTCCAGACTCGAGTGCGAAACGTCCAGTGAATTAAATCGGCCATTCATCAGCCATTGTAAGAGTTTAATAATTCAGATGCGGCCGCAATGCGACCCTGTACCAAGATACGCGGCCGGACCTTTTAATAAGCGATGCTTACGAGAGATACATTCTCAAAAGGATGGCCATTTGATACCGATCCATATTATAAATATAAAAAGGAACGCAAAAGCCCGCTCGAGGCTTTTTCTCCCTTAATGTCGTAATAATCTTTTTACTTTTAACTTTAATACGACAAAAGTAAATTCATTGGGATGAATTTATTTATATAATTGCTGATAGTCTAAATAAAATATTATAAGCAATTTTGATTTCAAAATTGATTTCTATATAAATTCCAATATATTATATAGAAACTCATAGAGCGATATTTTTATTTCTATATAAAGTCTAAAAAGATAAAGTATAAAAAGATGTATCAACTAATAAAACGATGCATAGCATCGCTATTAATTTATAGTAAGGGGTCTGAACTCGCAAAACTGAGCTAAACGTGGGAGCCGACCGTTCCACCTGTTTGTCCTCGCCCTCCGAATAGATACGCATTGAAAGGTGTCTGTCTATTCGATCTCGTCCAACTTGTTTTGAATACACTCACTATATCTTAATTCACAATACACAATTGATTTATTAACAAATGTGGAGCAATTTCTCACCGCATTTAGTTGCCCAATTTTTTTTCTAAATATATGTATGAAAGAATAGAAACTTAGGTATTTACTAATCATTATAATTATAGATAATTATATTACAAACTACATCTTGTCTTTTGTCTCTGTCTTTGTCACTGTCTTTTGTTTTAATGTTATTGTAAAGTGAAAAGTTAAGAAAATATTAAAAGAAACAAACAATAACTGATGCGCGCATCTCCAATACTAACACGTTGCTTTAACTGTCCACTATTGAACACAGGCCTTCCCTTTGGCGGGTTTTGCCAGTAGTTGCCATGCTTGGCAGGTGACATTTTAAAAGGCATGCTACTGCCCATCCCACGACCAATTACTTCCCTTAGTCGCCTCTTACTTTTATTTTTTTTTTTTATTTATTTATTTATTTCCAGACAACTGGGATCCATTCTTGTTAGTAAGTGTACTTAAAAACTATGTTAATACTTAATTACTAATAATGATCTAGTCCTCTCGGAGAGCATTTTCACGAGAGGACTATCCAATTTATTAACAAACATGTTCAGGATACTGTTGCTACTCCCGCGTATTCGACGTAAAAACGAAGCTGTCTTTTTTCGCCAGACTGCGTCAAAACTATCTGTGCGAGCGTCGGCAAACATCGCTGAGGCGCTACAGAAGCGCGGAAGCCGCAACAGTAACCTGAAACTATTATTAAATTGGATACGCAAGGCATTGCAGGCCCCCCGAGTATACTGGAACCACTGACTCGCCGAATACAACGATGTACAATACGCTTTAAATAGTGTTATTTTTACTGCATCTGTACATCGCGCAAATCGGCGAGACAACATATTGGCTCGGACCGACAAAGCCCTACGCTCCCTCTCCATATCTACATCGTCTCTAAGGCTGGTGGTCACCAGGTGACCAAGGTATTTAAATTGATGCACTCTTCTAATTGGAACACTATCCAACATAATAGGAGGTATATATGTTGGACACCTGGTACCCGCCTTAAAGACCATGTACTCAGTTTTCTTTACATTGTATATCAAACCGTGTGAAATAGCATACGACTCGCACACAGCGAGCAGTTTTCTTAATGCACTGACCGAGGGAGCCAGCAACACCATGTCATCAGCATAGCTGAGGTTATTAACACAAACGCCGTCCACGTAACAGCCAACGCGCATGCCACTGAGTCGCTCGATCAGTGAATCCATGTATAGGTTAAAAAGTAAAGGTGAGCTTAACCCTCCCTGTCTCACCCCACTCTCCAGTCTGTATGGCTCCGAGAGCTCATCTGCCCATCTCACACGATTCTCCTGTTCAAGGTACCAATATTTAAAAACCGAAATCAACTCTGGAGGCAGCCCGGTATCATTTAATTTCTGCCATAAAACGTCATACGACACCATATCGAAAGCTTTCGAGAGATCTAGAAAACAGGCATAAACTGGAGTCTGTCTGTCAGTATAATATTTGACAGTGTGCTTTAAACTAAATATAGCAGTCTCGGTAGACAATCCGGGCCGAAAACCAAACTGTCCGTCATGAAGGTTTATATGATTATGTAAGTAATAGTTCAGCACACTATCAAACACCTTGGCTATAATAGTTGCCAAGGAAATGGGTCTATAATTTGATTTATCTGACATATCTCCCGTCTTGCTCTTGACAATGGGTATCACCAGAGTCGACATCAAATCTGGAGGCAAATACGAGTGACTCACACATACATTGAATAGCATTGCGAGTACCCGTGGAAGATGAGAGCCAGCATGTCTCAGGTGCTCAATGCTGAGGTGGTCGTGCCCCGGTGATTTACCTTTCTTCATTTTATTAATTGCATACTCAATGTCTTTGGTTACAATTTTCGTTGACACTGTATATTGACCACTAACATTGAGACGATGAGAGACCCCCGAGACGATGGTCCCAAAGGCGAGTGCACTGTAAAATGTTCCTTAAATATTTTAGCAATATGTGCAGGCCTGGAAGCGCCATCAACACTCACCGGAGTGCCAGGCTTAACATTCAGCTTGTTGGTGGCTTTCCAGAATCTCTTAAAGTCACCTCCAGAGTGATGCATGGCTATTTGGTCCATTCTGATTTGTTCCTGATGGCGCTGACACCATCTCAGTCTACCCTTAAATATCTTACGTGACTCGATCATACGTTCATAGAATGGCCCACTGGAAGGTTTTCTAAAGAATAACCACTCACTAAAATGTCGCCTGGCACTCAAATGAGCCTCGCTCACATGCCTATTCCAACCTGCCAAAGTACGTTTATCACCCATTTTGTTACACATATTTAAATTAATATTATTTATGTAAGTATTAGTAGCAGCTTGGCATAGTATGTTTACAATATTTTTATATATATTATTTATAATATATCTGTGATTTATATGATCACAATATTTACCATAACATTCCTTACGATACCCAAAGGAAAAGAAGGAGTGGCTAATTCTATACCGAGACCACATGGCTAACTGATAACTGAATAGCCTATTGCATAAATATTAATCTAACAACTGATACTTTAACAATTTTTGTTTCA